TTAAAACTTTGATCTCTTGGAATGGGCAGGGCCCCGAGTCCCCCCTGGCGACAGCTTATCAAGCCTTCTTTTCCTCCTGCTGCCTCCCTCCCCTCCCCTCCCCTCCGGTCCCCGCCCTGTCCCGCCTGTCCCCCGCCCCCCTCCTCCCCCCCCCCCCCTTCCCCCCTCCCCTTTTCTCCCTTCCCCTCCTCCCCTCCTTTTCCCTCCCCCCCTTCTCGTCCCCAGGCTCTCCGTCCTCTGTTTCGTCCTCCCTTCCTTCCCCCTCACTCCTCCACAAATTGAACACCTGTCTGTGCCAGAGGCCACATGAAGTCCCTATGTGCTGCGCTGAGCACGATAAAGTCGGCTCCGAAGGACTCACAGAGAACACCCCCCCGTGTTGGCGGGGGGTGGGGGTGGGGGTGCTCCCAGCAAAGGAAAGAGCACTGTGAAGGTCTGGAGGTGAGAGGGGACGGAAAGGATTAGGGGGTAGTCGAGAGAGTGGGACTCTCACCTGGTTCCAGGCCCCGATAATCACCCACAGTATTTGGCCACACGAAGCACTCCGGGGGTGGGCAAGGCTCCAGGGGGCCCAAGAGTTTCCCGGAACTGGAACCAGAGAAAGATCTCAGGCACCTACGTGCCATCTGGGAAGTGGCCACAAGGTGGCAGCAGAGGACCAGTGGGGGTCCTGCGTTCGGGCCCGCGGTCAGCAGAGGCAAGAGCCCTGGTGATCAAGCCGCGTTGCACCTGTGCCCGGCCCTGGGGCAATGCAGTCCGGGCTCCAGCAGGAAGAGGCGGTCTGAGGGTGTGAGAAGGGCGTGTGCGCACGCACACACGCATATATGCATGGACGTCTGTATGTACATCGTGTATGTGTGCACATGTGTGGACGTGGGTATATGTATTGTATGCACACGTGTATGCATCTATACACATGCATGTATATATGTGCATGGGTGCGTGTGGGGGTGTCTATATGAGTTCGTGCGTATATGTAGGCGTGTGTGTCTATGTGTGCACATACACGTGTACCCACACAGGATCACGCACGTGTGTGTATGTTTTAGCAAAGAACTCTGCTCAGTTTAGCAAGAATCCCCCTACCCTTGATATCTACTAAGTTCTTGGCCTGCCTTTAGCAAGGATCCTGTGAGGCCAGTTTAGCAGGCACTTCCCTACCCTTTCTCCTCTTAGTCATTTCATCCTCTGAACGCCTCCCCTGCTCCTTGCTGTAAATCCCCTGCTGTCTTTGCTGTATTCAGAGTTCAACTCAGCCTCTCTCCCCTATTAACAATAGTCTTAAATAAACCCTTTACTATTTTAGCAAGTGTCCGAAAAACTGTTCTTTAACAAAGCAAGAGTGCAGAGTGGAATGAGTGAGGGGATACTGGAGGCAGGGAAGTGGCAGGCGGAGGGGGGCAGACTATGTGATTCCAAAACTCACCTTTAGCTTCGGCCTCCCGAGTCTCCCTCTCTGTCCCCTGGCTGTCCCTGCCTCTCTCACCTGGATTCCTGCAACAGCACCCATCTCAGCTCCCTCTTTCAGGTCTCACAGCCCCCCCACCCCACCCCCCCACCGCTCCACTCTGCAGCCAGAGGCTCTGCCAAAGCCCTGACCTGACCATGTCCTTCCCCTGAAAGGCCCCCAGGCAGCCCAGCTCCTCAGCCTGGCTGGCCAGCCCTGAACCTCGGAAACCTTTACTTTTCCGCTCTCCAGTAGTAGCCCAGCCCGTTCCCTCTGCTTCTGCCCCTCCCACAGAATTGTGCATCTGAATCCCACTCATTTCTCTAAACCCAGCCCACCCCTCACCTCCTCTTAGAAGCCCTCCCTGACTGTCTGCACCCCGAGCCCCTCACCTCCCAGCTTAGCAGGGCTGGTTCCCTCCCAGGGGTGGACCCCTCAGGTTCCCTGAGGGCAGGAGCCATGGGAAGTGCCCTCTCCTCCTCAGTCTCGCCAAGCTGTGGGACGGGATGCTACTCTGCCATCTTGGATGGTTTGGAGACAGACTGGGTTGGGATGGTTTGGGACTGAACAGGATGGATGAGCTCTTCTGATCCTTCTTGGCTAGGGAGGGAGGGAGAGGAGGTGGCCCTGGATTTGTGGCCACCATCACTGAAACCTTGGATGTCAAAACCCCTAGGGTTCGTGTGGCACGGTGAGAGGAAGACAGGTTCTGGAGCCAAACCACCTGGGGTCAAGTCCTGGCTCCACCCTTTTGCAGCTAAGTGACCTTGGGCAAGTTAGCTAGCCTCTTGATGTTCTGTTTCCCCACCTGCAAAGTGGGATAACAATAGGTTGTTGTCAGGATAAAACAAGTGAACACACATGAAAGGAACACTGAGTTGAGCACCTGGCACGGAGCTGGGGCTCATACAGCTCTTAGCTGTGATCTTGACAACTGGACTCAAATCTAGCGGCATCTGTGTGACCTTGGGCAAGTCATTTACCATCCGGGCCATCTACATCCTGGCCACACACACATACACGTTCTGTGTGTCCATGCATTCACTGTCTTCCTCCTCCTGGCAGACCCGAACGACCCCTCCACTGGGGCAGAAAGTTCGCTAGTGAAGCACCAGCTCCGAGCAAAGTGCTTGGCAAATAATAGGGACTCGATAAATATCTTCCAAATAAATGAACAGAGGTGGGCTTTCTTCACTGAAAAAGCGGCAATAATAACCGCTGTCTCACAGGGCTGCTGTCGGCAACGAACAAGACAACACGGAAAGCACCTACACGGTTTCCTCCTTGGAGCAGGAGAGCCCGGGACTGTTATCTTCGAAGTGGACACCAGGGGGCAGCATAGGACCAAGTCACGCAGGCCACACCTGTGTCTTGCCGAGGGGAGCGGGAAGAGGGACTTCTGGGAGAAGGTGGGGGGGTGGGGCTGGGCGCCTTTCAACTCCACCCTCCAAGCCCAGGCTGTCAGGTGGCCCTTCCCAGGTCTGTTCACACGCATCACTCATTCCTTCACAGAAAGGTGGACAGATTGTTGCTTTCACGTTGCTCACAGCCCAGAGAAGAGACAGTCTCTGAACAAGCAGTAATTAATACAATGACTTTAAGTAATGAAAGCAAATAGATGTGTTCTCTGAAGGCGGCCTGCAGGATGCTTTGAACACAATGACGCTGTGTTTCAGGCCGAGATGTGATGGTGAATCAAGAGGTAAGTAGGTGAAGAGGGAAGATGGTGAGCGCTGCTTTTAGGCAGGGATAACCTGTGCAAAGGCCCTGAGGCAAGAAAAAGCAGAACTCTTTAAGCTTTGGCCCCGAGAAAGGAAGAGAGTCCCTGAAGTCGCACAGTGAGAAGCAGAGCCAGGGCTGGAGCCCAGGTTTTCTGACCTCCAGTCCAAGACTCCTGGTTTCATTTCCAGCAAGCATCGTCTCTGATGTAGCAGCAGTAGCAGCTGTGCTGGAAGCAAAGGAATTTTGGCCCCGATGCTGTTTGACCCAACTTCCCAAGTATCTGAGCTGATAAGAGATTTTTAATTCTGATGTCTAGACTAAGACAACGACCAAACGTCCTGCAGCAGATTGGCTGATAAGAGCCTCTATTTGGGGCAAGGGGAGGCCCTCTCTGGGATCACGTGTCAGGGGCCCTCGGCCAGGGCAAGGGGACTACTGGAGGCTGGCAGAGCTGAGCTCAGAGGCTCCTGGCAGGGTGAGGGCATCAGCTGGGAGTCAGAGACGTTTGGGAAGTGACCGTTAAGACTGGCCTTCCTCTAGACGAGCATTCCAGGGAGCCTCGGCCCAGGACAGGGCAGCCCTGCGGTATAGATAAGGTTGTACTGGAAACAAAACAGTCTCTAAATCCAAGAGGCTTAAAGCCACAAACATGTACTTCTTACTCATACAGAGTCCCCCCCACCTGCCCCGGGGGCAAACAGGACCTCCTCTTGGCTCAGCGGGGCCCCTGCGTGTCAGCCTGGGAAGAGAGCTAGGGAAGCAGAACATCTGTCGTTAAATGCCTCCACCTGGTGGCCACAGCAAGGCACGTGGCAATGCCCAGCCCTGAAGCGGGGGTTCCGGGCGACTGTCCCACGTGCCAGAGGAGGAGACCAAGGACGAACAGTGCCGATGTCCGGCTGCCGGCAGTGAGATGGACAGACAGAGACGCCGGGAAGCCACAGTCAGGGCCAGCCCTCGCTCCAGCGAGCATTCCCGAAGCCTGGGGCTGGGGCCAGACAACCTGCCGTGGGCAGTCATGTCATTTATCAAGCACTGACTGTCAGCCCAGTGCTCCAGGAGCGTTATATTTAATCCCCACGACAACACTGTAGGTAGGTACTAATATTCTCTCCCGTGTTACAAATGAGGAAACGGAGGCACAGAAGGATTTTTTTTTTTTTAAGCAACTTGGCCAAGTATGTAGATGCCAGAGTGAAACATCACACGCGGGCATCTAACCTTCAAAAAGAAGGATTCAAAAAGAGAGGCAGGGGGTATTTTATAGGAAACCGTTTCCATAATAAGTGAGACTCTGCAGAGAAGATGGGTGGAGAGGGTATTTAAGACACTTATCTGTCACAGGAGAGAAGTCTTAAGTCTTGTCTGTAGTTCTCTCCGAGAGATTTCAGTCAGGATTTATGGCTTTTCGGTGCCTGTTTTGTTCTTTTCCAACGATTCCCTCGTTCTTATCTGGAGACGTGTCTAAACCCATTGAATGGTTGAGATGACCGACTGTGAACATCTCGCCACGACCTCTCCACCTCTGTGTGTGTGCGTGGCCGGCTGGCTCTGGATGTCCCCCCCCCGCACACACACACGCACACACACTTCACTTTTGCCAACCATCCAAAAGGAAGGTGGGCATTCATGATAGCCCATCCCCGAACACCACAGGGTGTGTGTCCCCAGAGCAGGACATTCCCCTCCACAATCCCACACCAGCTCCACATCGGAGATAACCAGCATTAACTGGGCAACATCACCTAACACGAACAACACGAACACCTGACACCTAACATCACGTTTCCCTGGTGGCCTCCCAAACGTTCTTTGTGGCTTCTATTTTTTCCCAGTCCAGGATCCAATCAAACATGGTGTATGGCATCGGGCTGTGATGTCTCCCCTACTTTGTTCCTCATGGTCCTAGATCCTTTGGAGAACCCAGGCCAGATGTCCTGCAGAAGGTGCCACGAGATTCCCGTGTTAGCCTCAGGCCAAACATCTCTGGCAAGGGTGGTATCTCACCATGGCCAAGGTCCAGCCTGATGGCCCGTGAGGGTGGGGACTGCCGGGTCTCCCAGCACCAAAGCACACTCCCCTCTGTAGTTAACAAGTAATCTTTGGGGGGGGACACTTCAAGACTGAGGGTATCCTGCCACCCGATGCCTCTTACCCTGTGGTCCTAGCACGCATTGATTCTTGCCTGCGTCACTGGTCACACTGGAGGCTACAGTATGTTAGCCTGTTGTTACAGTCTTGTAACAAATCTTCTAATTGTTCAGACAGACAGAGAAGACCTGGCTTCTTTGGGATGCAGCACCGCCTAAGCCTGCCCTCAGGCTCAATGCTTTTCAGGTCACACCGCAGGCAGGTGCAAGGGAGGGTGGGCAGGCACCAGCCCCGGCTCAGTCACTGAATGGCTGCGGGGCCCAAGGGTGGCCTTGAACCAGCAGCACTGACTTGCCCCGGGGAAAGTACTGGAAATGCAGGTTTGCGGTCGGAACCTGCATCCAGCAAGGTCCCAGGGGATCTGTGTGCCTGGGACTGTCTGAGGAATGACCTGGGGAACACCCCGAGCTTCTCTGAGCCCCAGCCTTCCCAGGTGAGACCAGGGTCAGACAGACTCATTACTTAGGTCTGGCTTTTTCCGAAAAGCGGATTCTGATACCTGCCTGCGCCAGAAGGTGATGATGGTGATGACAGCAACTATCATTTCTAAGGAAGGGAAATGAGCTTGGACATTTAGCCAAGACCTCTCAATGGCACGTCGGTAATGAACAAGAAGACCGGAGTTGACAAAGGAGGGCCCTGGAGGGGTGTGTGTTAATCAGAAATTGGATTTTGTTGGGTTGACTCTGTGGTGCCGGGGCCACACAAACTTTCTCCCTGAAGGTCCCGCTCCTAAAGAAAGAAAATGGGACAGGCACCAGTGGGGGCGGGGAGGGAGCAGGGCAGAGCCAGGCGGGGCAAAGCCTACCATTGTCTTGAAGGGTCTTCAGCCTCAGGTTTTAGCTTCCGTCTGGACACCACGTCCTCCTTCTGCTTCATGACGTATCCATGGTTGCTTCGATATGTTAAAAACTGTTTTGAACTGCTAACTGCCCTATCGGCCCCATGTCCCTTGTCCCATGGCGCAGCCCCAGGACCCAGTGGTCTGTGAAGTTGGTGAAGCAGGCGTCCTAAGGTCACGGGTACACCTGCCTGAGGACCCGCCCACAGCCTCCAAAGGGGCTCAGATTTGTCCAGAGTCACACCTGGAGATGATTTCTCTCTGCACCATCCTCACCTGTGCCGAGTGCTTGCGTGTGCAAAGGTCTCACCTGCAACCACCCCTCCCATCAGGTTTTATACCAGCCCCATGGGCCCTGCTGGTCTGGGGTTATGAACGTCCCCCATTCTACAGATGAGAAAACAAAGGCCAGGAGAAGCAAAACAACTCATCCCAGATTACCTAGCAAGTTACTGGAAGATTCAGCATCGCACAGACTCAGGTGTTCTCATTTCCAGACCAACGAGTCTTCTGCTGGCCCGTCCTACCAGTCTCGTCCCTTCCCCCTCGAGGTCCTGCCAAAGGGCTCCCAGGTTCCTCTCCTGCTGCCGGGGGCAGAGAGAGGCCGGCTCCCTCCTGCCTGCTGCAGGGCGGGCCCCAGCCTCGGGGGAGGGGGCTCTCCAGCAGTGGGAGCCCGGTGAGGGGGCTGCTGGAGACTCGTCAGCTCTCGGAGCAAGGCAGCGGCAGACGGGCCCCTTTCCGGGAGAGGCCTTGACAAGGAGTCAGGTGGAGGGTGCTTCCTCACAACCCTAGCTAACCTGCCCCAGGAAGCGGTGAGCTTCCTGTCTGGTAGCGGTCCAAGCAGAGGCCAGCTGACCTCACTCTCCAACAGGGGTGCTGACGAGGGTAGAAGGCCAAGCACCGTGTCGAACCTCTGAAGCCGCTTTTATTAGGAAGGTGGGGCAATCCTCAGTGCTTTGACCCTTCCCGTCATTTTCAGCTCCCCCATGAGGGCTGGTGGAGGACCTCAGAGCTGAAGGCCATCCCTACTGTCCCCGTGTGATCTGGCAGGGAGAGCAGTGGTCTCCTGGAGAGCAGATGACCACAGAGCTAGAAATCAAGAAACTTCCATCCAGTCCCACAGCTTTGTGGATGCTGTGTGTCATTGAGCAAGTCACTTCACCTCTCTGAGCTGTCAGTTCCCTTCCAGAGAGTGGTTAATACTGCTTCTGCTATCTCAGAGGGTTGGCTTTGGAAGCTCTCAAGAAATGGACAAGGGACCCGATTTTCAAAATATACCCTCTGCTGTCTAGAAGACCTTAGTATACCATTACCCGATTTTTCAGATGAAAAAACTAAGGCCCAGAGAAAAGAAGCAGCTTGCCAAGGTCACACAGCATGTCAGAGACAGACTCAGGACTTGAACCCAGGGTTCCCGGTCACAGTGCAGAGCTGGTTAAGGAGACCCTGTGGCCTTGGAGCAGGAGTTAACCTGACTAAACAGGGGGACACTGGCTATCTTCCCCCTTCCTAGAATGGCAGGTGTCTCTTCTGGAAAACCTCATGGCTCTGAGGCCCACATTCAGGCCAGACAAGAAAGATGTTCATGAGTACCTTGCCAGAGAAAGGTCGGGGACCCCGATCGTCACCCTAATTTGTATCATGTGTCATAGTCCACAAGGTGTGGGGTGACCTTGGGCAAGTCCCTGCCATGGGCCCAGGCTCCCCCTCCGTAAGGTCAATCTCTAATTGGCCTTTGGCTCAGCACCGGCTCTGGTATAGACAACAAAAATGAAGATTTGATTTCTTTCTTTAACCAGACAGATGAAAATATTTGGCTCTGAGGCTGCTTTGTCCTGTGTGCAGCCCTGCTTGGCTCTAAAAACTGATCATCCTCCCAGCTCCGGAGCTCCGAGGGCTCCCCGGGCACCAGGCCAGACGTGGCCCCGGGCACATCTGCTTCCACTCAGCATCCTCAGCCGGCTGCTCTGCCAGGGACTTGGCCCACAGCCTCGCCGGGTCTCAGGGGCCTGGAGAGACGGCTGGGTCCCAATTATGGGAGAGACAAAGGCCCCTGACAGGGCAGCGCTTGTAACGCTCACGCGGCTCTCCCCTCCCTGCACCTCGGCTCAGACCCAGGCAGCCAGCCGGGGCAGTCGCTGAGTGACAGGGGGCGGCTCGTCGGGACCAGGGGATGTTAAGTGAAGCCTTGAGTGGTTTGCTCAGGCACTGACCCTGTGGGGCCAAGGGGCAGGGAAGGAGGACGGGACCCAGAGGTCTGGTCCAGGCCCCGGTGCCGGCGGGAGGACGGAGGGGCGGCCCGAGCCTGGTGGTGGGTGAGGGCATTGGCTTTAGTGTTCCACAGACCTGAGTTCAGATCTCTACTCTGAGACCGCAGGCACACCCCTCACCCACTCTGGCTCCTGATCCGTGAACTGAGATGATACTGTTACCAAGTCATTCGGCCATTGTGAGAATAAGTCAAGTTACACAGAGTGTCTTACACACGGTGCACGTCAATTATAGTGGCTGTTGTTATTGCTTGTACTATTATTGACGTTGATCCTGGAGAGAAAGAAGAGAGTCCCAGTTTGGTTTTTTTTTTAATGTTTGTTTAATTATTTTGAGAGAGAGTGAGTGTGGGGGGAGGGGCAGAGAGAAAGGGAGAGAGAATTCGAAGCAGGCTCCACACGGTCAATGCAGAACCCGACGCGGGGCTCGAACTCTGGAACCGTGAGATCATGACCTGAGCCCAAGTGGGATGCTCAACCAACTGAGCCACCCAGGCGCCCCCAGGAAGTCCCAGTTTAACACCTCGCTCCCGAATACATGGCCTCAAATGGTGAGCTGGGCGGGCTCACATTCTCACAACACAGAGGGGTGGAGCAGGAGGTCCCATGGGGACACGGTGGATAGAATCAGACCTGGGAGCCAGAGGCCTGCCTGTTCTGCCGATGCCCCACCAAGCGGCCTCAGCCCCCTTCGGCCCCACAGGGATTCAGGACCCTCTGGCTCTGACCTTCCAGTTCTGAAATTGCAGCGGTTCTCCCCTTAAGGCAGGGTGGCCTTAAGTCTATTTTAAGAGTGAAGGACAGTGGAATGAGGCCTGCACGTCCCCTGGGGCAGAATGGCCTGACCCTCTGTGCAGGGCAGTGTGACTTCCAGTGGGGGTGTGGCCACCAGGACCGCAAGCTTTCAGCCTGTCGTGTGAACCTCATTCCTAATGACAAGGGCAGCCTTGGGGATCCGGCTGAGTGTGGGAGCTGCTTTCTGTGAGACTCCCCCCCTTTGTGGGATGTGGCCGTTCAGGGAAGGGGACTGACCCCCAGAGGCACAGCTTTGTTCTCTTTTTTCCAAGAACGCAGCCCTGATGGGTCATTAGTTGGTGCACAAATATTTCTTGAGCAGTTACTATGTGCCAAGCCCTGGGCTGAGCCTGGACACAAAGCCTGGTAGTCCCTTCCTCCCACCAAGCCATAGGAACACACACACATACACACACATACACACACACACACACACACACACACACACACACACAAGAGGATTACAGGTTGTGCTGGGGAGCTGTGAAGGAAGCAGACCAGGGCTGTCCTCGAAAAGAATGGGGGGAGGACCGTTGCCCCCAGGATGGTCAGGGGAGGGTATCCGAGGAGGATACAAAGGTACTAGGCAAAAAGAAGGGGTAGGGATGAACGTGCCCCCATTTTCTCCTTTCCCTGTGCCCACACTTTTCCCTGAGGCCTTGAAGCTCTTCTCACTGCAGAGACAGAGTCGATTTCCTCACCCTTGAATCTGGGCTTGGCCATGGAACTTGCCATTAGGAGTCTTGACCAGAACAGACAGAGGCTTGCAAACTTGTGTGCAGTAATCTACCTTCCCTTGGGTTTCTGCCTTCACCCCCAGCAAGCCTGCTGGAGAGGTGGGAGAGACACGTGGAGGACAGCCAAGATGTCTCCGCCATCCCAGCCAAAGCCAGCCGGAGCCACCTGCTGACCCACAGCTCACCAGAGCCCCTGCTCACCCAAGATGCATGAGTGGGTCCCACCAAGACCGCCCGAGCCCCGCCCAGGCCAGCAGAACCACTTGGCAGACCCGCTGACTCCTAAGAAATCATGAATGGTTGTTGTTTTAAGACACTGGGTTTGGGCGTGGTTTGTTACCCAATGATAGTTAACTGATACAGGGGAGAGCATTCCTGGCGGTGGAGAGAGCATTTCCAAAGGCTCAGAGAGGCAAGAGAGAGCTTTGGGGGTTGAGAGATACAGAAAAGGTCGGCATGGCTGGAATGCAGTGAGAAGCCAGGAGGGAGAGAGAAAATGAGATCCGGGGGGTGGACAGCGTCAGGTAGGGCTTTGAAGGCTGTGGTAGGTGCTTGTGTGTGTTTCTAAGCAGAGTGGGAGCCAGTGGAAAGTTTTAAGAACATTTGGGAGCAAGTGCAAGGCAGTATGGTAAATACTGATGCATTTTCTATAAAATCTCCCTTTGGCCGTCCTGGGGAAATGAATTGGAAGGAGCATTCATGGAAGTAGAGGGGCCATTTACATACACGTTTGTCAAAACATACATCTAAATGGATACATTCTATTGCCATGCAAGCTATATCTCAATAGTTTGCTTTTTAAAAGCATTCCTTAAACAAAACATTTGCGAAAGGTAAGTAGAATGGAAGAAGCAGCAGCATTCGGTAATCACAACTACAGCGTTTACCGAGGACCTACAATGTGCCAAGGTCCTGTGGGAAGCACGTCGGGGATAAGGCAGACAGACCATGCTTTCGAGGAGCTTGCAAAATTATTGTGACGAGGGAGGTTGGTGTCATAGAGGTTACGTTGAATCGTGTCGTATACAGAGGTTGGTTCTCCAGTCAACGTGTAAAAACACTGGGCATTGTTAAAATCATGCCTGAAAATGTTTTACAGAGGTGCCATGTTGGAGAACAGCATTCTAGAATATTTCTCAGTACATCCAACATAGCCAGCTTCCCTCCAGCATGGATTTGACTGCAGTTTCATTGATTGAGTGCAAGATGTGATAACAGGTTTGCTGGGGTTTTGTTGCACACACATTTTCATTTTTTTATGTGTATTTTTATTTATTTTGACAGAGACAAAGAGCAAACAGGAGAGGGACAGAGAGAGAGAGGGAGACAGAATCCCAATCAGGCTCTGCATTATCAACACAGAGTCTGACGCGGGGCTCGAACTCATGAACCGTGAGATCATGACCTGAGCCGAAATCAAGAGTCAGATGCTTAGCCGACTGAGCCACCCAGATGCCCCGCTGCACACACGTTTTTAAGCACTAGACTCACCCCCAGCCTGGAAAGATGCTCAAGCAGTGGCTTTATGGGAACTCATACCTTCAGGGAGACCTGAGGGTGGGGGTGGGGTGGGGGCAGACACATAAACATCTGTAATCCAGTGCTATAAAGGATAGATGCAGAAGTTCAGGTGTGTGTGTGTGTGTGTGTGTGTGTGTGTGTGTGTGTTTGTGTGTGTCAGCAGAACTTGAAAGGTTGTTTCTAAAATGCATATGGAAATTCAAAGGAACAAAACACTCTTGCAGAAGAATAACAAAATGGAAGCCTTGCTCTACCAGCTGTCAAGTCTCAGTATAAAGCTACACACAGTAAAGTACAGCCTCAGGAAGGTGTGATATTGGTACAAGAATGGTCCAATGGAGCAGAATCTAGAAACAGCCCCAGGCACAGGTGGACACCTGATTTATGACAAAGGGGAGGTAGTCAGGAAAGGACATTGGTTAGGAAAGGACCTAAGGCCTTAGGAAAGGTCCTTTCCTAAG